CAGCGTTCCTGATGATGGGAAGTGACCAGTACTGCCTCAAGTGGAACAATCACTGGGCCAACCTGATTCGCGTCTTCAACTCGCTGCTGCAGTCCGAAACCTTCGTCGATGTGACCCTGGCCTGTGAGGGGCGGCACCTGAAGGCGCACAGGCTGGTGCTGTCTGCTTGCTCGCCCTACTTCAAGGAGCTGCTCGTCGCCCACCCCGACAAACATCCCATCGTCATACTCAAAGATGTCCGCTACTCTGAGCTCCGCACTCTGATCGAGTTCATCTACAATGGGGAGGTTTCGGTGGAGCAGCACGACCTCGCCGACCTGCTGTGCACGGCGCGGGAGCTGCAGATCAAGGGCCTGGCGGACAACCGCCTCCCGGGCGCAGCCCCGTCGCCCAACCCCCCCAGCAGCAGGGACCTGAGTGGCCTCACCAGCCACACGCTCACCACCACCACCGCCGCCCCCTCCACCACCACCGCCACCTCCACCACCGCCGCGGCGCCCGCCACCGCCCCGAAGAGCAGCAGGGGGCGGCCGCCCGCCGACGACCGGCCGCCGCCGCTGCTCACGGTGCTGCAGCCCAACCTTCCTGCGTCGGCGGCGTCGCAGCTGCCGCCGTACCGGTCGCGGCCGGCGTCCCGGGAGACGTCGCCGGTGCACAAGCGGCGGCGGCTGTCGACCGGGGGCAGCGACGGCGGCTCGGAGGCGTGCGAGGCCAACGGCGAGCGCCCGCGGCCAGACGCGCCCAACGGGCACTTCCCGACGCAGGAGCAGAGCAGCAGACAGTACACCGCCGTGGCGGGGCCGTCGGGGCTTCGGTTGCCGGAGCCCAGCAGGAAAGAAGTAAGTGCTTTGGCGGGGTTTGCTCGAGGTTCCGCTCGCCCGGAAGGAGAGTCTGCGGGTGAGAGGGGGAGCTCGGACCAGGCCTCGCCAACTCGGGCCTTAGTTCTGTTTGAATGTAATAACTATTTAAAAATCAAAATAAGTTGTGATTTCTTGATTATATCCCTAGCGTGGAGAGGGAAATCAATTCCATATCCACACGTACTCTAGTCCCGACTCCGCCCCGCGTGCCCTTTCCCGCGCCCATGGCTAACGCCCTCCCCGTTTGCAGGACAGCACCAACCGCGACTCCAGCTGGGACGCAGAAAGGGCAACGCCGTCCATATCCAAGTCGTCCTCGGGGGGCCAGTCCACCGCGGCCTCCGGGGACTTCAAACTAGCGCACTCGGGCGAGGACACCGACGACGACCGGGGCGCCATGGTGAGTCACGGGCGCTTCCGCTCTTTTTTTTTTTTTTTTTTTTTTTTTGTGGATTTTTGTGTTTTTATTTTTCTTCTGAGGTGGAAGAGAAGGGTATTTGTCGTAAGGAACGTGTGTGGTTTTGTTTATGTTTGTATTTATGTGTATATGTGTATGAATGAATGTATGAATGAATATTTTGAAAAGTACACATCTGTTAATTACTTCCCTAGTATAATCCAAACTCTGCTTTCAGACGATTCAGTCACCAGAAGTCATCTTGGAAGAAGGAGAAGTGGGAGCAGGCTCCTCGGGCCCTCCCTCAACCGTGCCATCACCCACTCTGTGTGGCAGTGGCATTGGGAGTGCGTCTCTCACCACCACAGGTCTGGGAGGCCCACTTCCCCCACAGGTAGCTCTGCTCCACCAGGCGCTTGCCCCAAGCTACCACCCTCTCCTCCACTACTTCCCTCCTGGCCTCCTGGAACAGCACCACCAGCAGCCTCCGGGCGTATCTCCACCAAAGGACCTCATGCACTTCTTAGATGTCATGAAAGCAATACCTCCTCCTAGGTTACCTCTGGCTGCGCTGGGAGCTCCCAGTGCTGGGAGTGCCGGTCTGGGTCTTCCTCTCACCGGGGTATCAGGCACAGTGGCAACGTCCACAACGTCATTGAGCGCAGCCAGAGAGAAGGGCGGCAGCATGACCTGTCACATCTGTGCCATGATCCTCCCATCACACCATCGCCTAGAAGAGCACATTCGCATTCATGAGGAGGAAAAGCCCTATAAGTGTGACCAGTGCGGACAGCGCTACAAGTACCAGTCAGCGTTCCAGCGACACCAGGAACAGAACCACACAGCAAAGCTGCCAGGGGATAAGCCATTCCGCTGTGATGTGTGTGGCCAGTGCTTCAAGTACCACAAGAGTTTTGCCAAACACCGCTCCAACCACGATATATTAGACAGAATCATGAAGTCAGAATCCGAAGCTCTCCACAAGGGCCACCCAGCTGAATCCTACCTCCAAAAACTCCTCATCAATGAGTCGTCAAAGAGCGAATCTGAAACGTCTTTGACCCTAAAAGAAGAAGGACTAGACGCTCAAGAAGAGGGAGCCGAGCGACCGTCCACATCAAACCCCACCACATTCAAGTCTGCCCTTCTTCATGTGGAAAACTCAGAAAACGGCATCAGGAAGTTCGAAGATGGTGAAGATGAAGAGGAAGAAGAGAATATTGAAGGTGAAGAAGAAGAGGGAGAAGATGAAGAGAACAAAGGAAAGTTTGTTTATTGTGTTAAGTGTAAGTTGACATTCCGAGACGTGGCCAGTTTCGAGGGTCATTGCCGAGGGTCAACAGACTGCTCACTTGATACTTTGCGGGAAGTGTGTGTGAGTGATGGCCACGGCCCGTCACGTCCACCAAGCATAGCTTCTTCACCGCAGGCCTCGCCCCGGCTGTCCCCAAGCTGCGTCTCGGGACCACCTCGCTCCCCTCTCCCAGCCTCCACTCCCTTGGCTCTGCCCTCACCTCCTGCCACAACCACTCCCACAGGTGGCCTGCCTCCGTCCTCATCTGTGGCAGTCAGTACTGCTACTGCAAGCACCACCAGTGTAACTCCTGGGACCAGCACACCTCCTGGCCAGAATAGTTTATTTAAACTCGACTCAAGTGGAGCAATAATGTTGGCCCAGCCTCCCCTTGCCCCTGTGTCGGACCCGCGTGGGGACGAGGAACGCCCCTTCAAGTGCCCCTACTGTCAGAAGGGCTTCAAGGGGAGGGAGAACCTGAAGCTTCACATCCGCACACACACAGGAGAGAAACCTTACAATTGTGGTGTTTGTGGCAAGGCATTTGGTGGTCGCTCTGACATGAACCGTCATTTGCGCATACACACTGGTGAGAAGCCATACCCATGTAAGGTCTGCGGCAAAAAGTTTGCTCGTGCAGACTACCTGTCAAAGCACATTACCACGCACCTCGGGATTCCATTTGCCAAGCCAGTGCATAGTTTGCAACAAAGTCTTCAAAATTTAGAAAATATGCAAAACCTACAAAATCTACATAAGTTACAAAATATGTCTAATGAATAATACCAAAATTGCCCCAAATATTTAAGAAGATAAATTTTTATATATATATTTACATTCTTATAATAAATTAGTTGATATTGTACGCACTGAAAGTGCCACATCTGCTTATAAAGCAGTAAAATCAAAGGTTTTGAACCAGTGACAGAAACTGTGTTAACATACCTAGTTTTTTAAAGTTAGGTATTGATATTGTTGTCATATTTCTTATTCTCAGAAGAGATTAAAAATGTAAGTAGTTGGTAGTGGTAAGGATGGGAGAGTAGGCCTATGGGCACATCTGCAGCGTTGAGTATCCTTGTGATCTAGTCACTGCCCAGTGTTGCACGCAGAGCTTCACACCGTCTGCCGTGCTCACCAGGATTAATTCTTCAAGCCCAGTTACCAGATTTTCTTTGTTATCCAGATGACTCTCTGATATTTTTTATCATTTTATTATTTATTCTGTCATTTCTCTATTGTTTTTATTAAGAATTTTGATATGTATATTCTTATTTTGATTTTTTAATAATTGGTGTCAATGAGGAGCTAGAAAGCTCTTTCCTCTATTGCTGACGGCCAGTGGCTTGTGCTGGGCCAGGAGGCTTGAGGTCATAGTACAAGGTAGGTTAGTGTGGGCGTGGGTTGTATCCAGTGCCCTGTGGAGTTACTCTCCCTCTTACCACCCAACCAACTGCACCATCTGCGTCACCTGGCCGCTTCCCAGTGCGACATGACTGCCAAAATCACCTCATGCCTAGCTGCAAAGTCCCACTTTTCCCCTTCCTTTTTTTTCTCTCTCAATTCCTCTGATTTTAAGCGACAGCAGGGGCACAGGGCCTTGAACCTGCCCAAGGTTGGTCTGGAGACCCGAGGTTGCCTCGCTATGGTCAGTGTTAGGCAATAGCTGTGCGCATAGCCACAAGTGTATAACTATGTACTGGACTGTTTTTGCTGTGGAGGTCTCAAGCCTTCTTTATTGTCATTGTGGTCTGGTGTTGCGGAGGTTGCCTGACCTGTACACCCACCCCAGTGGATCATGATGGTGCTAGCATCTATGTCTGTGTGCACTTGCCTGGTGAACCTGACATTGGCGACCTTCTTGAATACCTTTGATTTATTTTCCACAATAACACTAGAAATGGGAAAAGTTATATTTGTTGAAAGTTTGAGGTATTAAGGAATGGTATGCCCAAAGTGAGTTTGAGCCAGCCACTGGTGGTCCAATGGACCATGGTGGGTTGTAGGATGGGCTGGTGTTAATATAACAGTCTGGCTTTTGACATGCTGGCTGGACTCTAAACTGCCTGCTCGTGATAGTGTCAAAAGTACATACTATAGAGCATTTGTGCACTGAATGGTAAGTTGACCAAGTCAACTTAAAATGAAAGCAGAGCTTGTTTATGGCGTAAGTGACTGTTGATTTTTATTTGTACCATACCACAGATGTGTCCCTAGTGTTATTGATAGATATTAGGAATACTGTAGGTGAGCCTAGCTCATTAAACTGTAGCTTTTAGTCCTCCACCTGTTCTTTCCTGTGTGCATGAGCAGTGACCGTGGAGGAGGCACGCGAGTCACACACCACACACCTCTGATCTTTGTCTTCAGCTTCTTCACACCTCGTTCTTTCCTTAGTTTGACAAAACTTTCCTCGTCTTTCAGTTTTAAAACTATGTCGTGATTGACAGGACTACATTTTCAGCCATACCTTGTACTCTTGCAGCCTAAAAGGAATGAAAAAATGGGTTTAAATTTTTTGTGTGGTTTAGAGAGGATTAAAGTTGTCTTACTTTAGCAAGGTACTTGAAGTTGACATGTCTGTGAAAGGATATTGGAAGATAAGATGATGATGCAGAAAAGCAAGATTGGCTGAGATTGTGGCAATTGAGCCTTGGCTCTTGAGAGAGTGCAAGTTTTAGTGATGTAAGGTCAGCCAAGCTGCGACTGAGGACGGCATGTTAGGAGGAGCTACACCACATGCACACCTTGTTGGTCTGTGATATTGTGAAAAGCTTGTTGGGTCCCATGTGCTGCCCTCCTGGAGGGCTTTCTGGGCAGCAGTAAGCAATGGGTACTCGCATCTCTTGTCCAAAAGGAAAATTGTGTTAGGCTGAGAATTCTTTAGAATTCCTGTGTTAATGACTAATGTCTGTTACCAAAATGAGTCATATGATGACGGAAAGTTGATTGTTCTTTGTAGCATTTGAAATGCTAAAGCACTTTTTCCAGTTACTGGATGATAGATAATGTTGTTTGTTTGATGGACTGATTGAAAATTCAGTTAGGTGGAATGTGGCACAGCAAATGTTCAAGCACCATGGGGTAGAAGCAGTGGGACTTTCTTTTGCTTTTTAACATCCATACTTAGGAATTGTATGTTTTCTTTTTGGTCATTCATTTGAGTTGTGGATTTGCAGATTTAAAATTATTTTTCCCTGTAGTGGTAAGCTGGTGATAAGTCAAAGTGCCTTGTGACTTGTGATAAATTGTGGATGGAGGAGCTTGTACGCTCTCTCATTTGAAAATAATTGCCAAGTTCCTGAATACATGGGGATCAATTGCTGTAGCTTGTTTAGTTCTCAGAGCTGACTTTACCATGTTGCATATTCAATGACAGGAGTTGTTTCCAGTAATGTGCTTCTAGGTTTGGTGTTTAAATTAATTTAATTTATTTTTTACAAATTTTGCATACCAGTTAGAAAATTTGGTGCTTGATGCATTAGCCATGCCACATTCAGAAAGGCAATATAGGACTGCTAGTATGTAAAAACAAAAACCCCAAAGGAGGCATTGTCACATGTTACAATGCCTTGTTCCACTTTAAGGGATCCTCCAAATTGAGAGACATTAAAATTTCATTGCCAAGCAAGACATGATGTGCATGTACCCTATTGAAGGTGTTTCTATTGTCCAACAATTCTCAGACCTTCCATGACAGGCAAAGTGGATGATGCACAGTAGCAGCAGCGGAGCAACAGTGAGGCGACGGTCAGGTACAACCACAGCCGCAGAATGTAACAGTGTAGCAACATTGTTGTCTAGTGGTGTAACTACAATGGCAATTTTCCACAATTTCTAAACTACTTGTAAAGTAGGAAATTAACCAAATTTATAAAATGAGTTTAACCAGTCTTCATGGAAGATTAAAAAATTGTATGCAGCCCATACAGTTGATGAATTGGTGCGCTGCTGTATCAGATACATTTATGTTGTTGTTGTTGTTGTTTTCTTTCCAATCACATATTGGCTAAGCCCCAGAAGAAGGCTACAAGAAGTTGTGTAAAGTGTGACTATACCGTGAAACAGAGGATAAGCCACAGCGAACCCTCCACAGTGTAACATAAGGCTGATGTGGCCGTCCCAGGAGCTGTCTAAATTCCAGGCGATTGGGACATCAGTGTGACTCCAAGAGGATAATCTTGTGTCTTCAGATATTTACATTTTTCATGTAAGAGACTTTGGAAAGTAATATTTTAACTTATATATTCTGTATAAAGAGACTGTATGCTGATGTCAACTTGTAGAATACAAAAGATTTGATTTTCAAATTGAATATTTTCATTAACATGGTTTATATTGATGCCCCAAATTTCCTGTTACGGTGTACAAATCAAGTCCTGCAGGAAGCTGCAGTGTTACAAGCTCAAGATCACACAGCCACCTATCGCTTTCCCCCATGTGCAAATGAACCACAAACCAGGACTGCATTATGCAACAATATGGTTCCCATGTGACTGTTGTGTTACTATTACATCTCCAAGTTGCCCTCTTAAATAGATTCCTTTGACAGCTTCTTGGGATGCCCGCATGAGGTTCAACAAACTCCACTTAATATGAGGACGCAACAGTGCCTCCACCATGTGTTCAAACCAACAGACAGCTAATGTGAGTTCCTCAACACACTGCTAGTGATAATAAAAAGATAAGTTTGTATGTATATGTGTTATGTGTGTATACATGTGTGTATACATTTATATATATATTTGTATGTATGTATATATGTATATATATATATATATATATATATATATATATATATATATATATATATATATATATATATATATATATATATATATATATATATATATATATATATATATATATATATATATATATATATATATATATATATATATATATATATATATATATATATATATATATATATATATATATATATATATATATATATATATATATATATATATATATATATATATATATATATATATATATATATATATATACACATTATGTATGTATGTATGCATTTATATACATATATATACATGTACATATACATATATTGGGCATTGTGGAGTCTGGGCACTTGATATTATTTATTCAGGATGGAATGATTAAAGCACATCATCACAGTTTGCCAAGTCTTGAAGGATACTTAATTGCCCTTTTATTGTGTGTATTGGAAGCCGTAGCAGAACGATCAAGTGCCCAGCCTCCAGTCGTGAAATTTCTCTGTTCTCCATTGGTAGATTGTTTAGGGAATCACAGTGGCTTTAAAACTTGTACAATAGTTAGTTGACAACTATGGAGGTGACTCAAGGGACGAAGAACCATCTTATGTTTGATATTTTGTTGGTGTCTAGCGGATGAAGTTTTATATTGACTAGTGTATAATACCAAAGTCTTCAATATACCAAAAATTCATATACAGATTATATATGTTTTTGTATGTGCATGCATGTGAGTGTGTATGTGTGTGTAAAATGTATATGAAATTATTGTATGTATTGAAGATGATAAATTGTGTGCTTTAAATTGTGTGTTTATACATTAAGAAGTATATGTATAAATATGTTGCATATAAATCAGAATGGAGCAAATATTCATGTGGGAATAATACTGAATCCCTAAATAGCAAGTGAGTTTTTGTATTGAATTTTAGAAATCCTCTTTTCACTGTCCCAAGTTAGTGTCAGTTACTATTTGTCAGATATCCCATGCATTGGTCAGACCTTGATATATATACAATGTATTATTATATGTACAATGTATATGAGTGTGTACGTATGTGTGTGTGTTCATGACATTACACACGCACACACATGCAGGCACATACACCATTTTAGAAGGAAATTGATGGAGTCTATATTGAGTCACATCCAACCTGCACCCCCCTCCCCCCCTCCTCCCAATAGCTCTAGATCCGTGTCTAGTATTTATAAATACCTGTGTCTATGTTGGTCACCTGGTCTTTCTTAAATGGCAAACCAGTGTGTGTACAACGTGTCGAGTTTTCTCATGTTGCTTCAGTGACCTCGTATTCAGAGTTTTGTTACTGTTTTCTGTAAGCACTAATTCAGATTTTGATTCTCAGATTTTGTAGCAACAGTTTTTTTTATTTTTTATTTATTTTTTTTATTATTATCTTTATTTTTTTTATATATAGTGTAAGTGTAGACTGATCAGAATATTTGAAAGTTTAAGTGTCTGGTAGGACAGCGACCATATTTGTATTCCCTTAAGATGTTATTTGCAGTAAGAACATTGCAAAGTTACTTGAATTTTGATAGTTACTGACACAATGTTTTCTCAAAAATTTAATGGTACCGTGTAATTATACAGTGCTAGTGTTGTAGCTTTCACACAGATTGAAGAAACCTAGTTCTAGAGGGCATGAGGGTTTCATGATTTGTTAGGACTCTCTTGCTCCAGTGACATTGGTTGTAAAATGATCTTTATAAAGTCCAGGAGTGAAGTGCCAAAGGGCAGTTAGCAAAGAGGCACTTGGCAACTCATGGCGCATAAGTGAAATTTAGATAGTTTCCTAGTTTTGCAAGTTTTCTTGTTTTGTAAGACTATTACTGTTTTTCTTGAATTGCTTGTTGCTGTCAATGTATTTTACTGTTATCCTGTGATTGTGGAAGAGTGAAGAACCAGCAGAACCACAACCATCCCAAAAAGAGTAGGCATTTCATGAGGCAAGAAGTCTACATCTGTGTAGCTATTGTAGCACTGCATCCGATATCTTGCTTTCAGAGGGAGAAGTGTGTCTGCACTACCTCTTAATTCACTAAGGCATTTTCCAAGATTGTTCACTGGTACTAATGTCTTTCCACAATCATTTAAGTCTAATACCATTGAGAGTAACCAAAGAGTGAACAACTAAAACTGCTAAAGTGGGAAATTACCAAAATTTACATAGTAAATGACCCACAGGTCAGTATTCAATGTCGTGTTTTGTAGGCTTTTTAACTGCATAAGGATGAATCCAAAATGAGTGGTGATCAGTCGTCCTACTTTTTTTAAAAAGTTGTTTTAAGAACTTAGTGTGGTTGCTAAAACTCACTGCTGCTCACAAGCCGTGTCAGGTGCGGACAAAGGCTGTGTTCATGACTGCGGCAGATTTAGCACCTATGGACAATTTTGGGAAGATATTTTCAAGGTTAATTTTCCTGTTAGATAAATATTAAAATGTCTTAAGGAAGGAAAGATGCCCACTGTCCATAATTGTTGAGTTTGTCGCATTTAATGGAGTGTTTGGACTGCTACCAGACTCTTTAACTGTAATAGCCAATAATAATGGCATTCATTGTATGTTGCTTCTATGAAGAACTTAAAATGTAACACTCTGTTGTATGTGAACACAGACGTAAAATCTTACCTCACTATTAAAACTCCCCTGTAATGGAGGCCAGTTCATAACCTAGCTAATTGGACCGACTGCAGTATTTAGGTTTAACAGACATTTGTTATTAGTAAATTTGGTCACTGAAGACATAAATCCAGAATTAACTGTGGGGTTTCCAAGGCATAGAGGCAAAATTCAACCTAGGAATGAAATTATTGATATTGCTAGAAATGTAAATTTCCCCTGTGTAATTTCCATATAAGTAGCTGGCTTTTTGTGTTGAATTTTTTCACACAGAAGATGATTTCATTTTAGGTATAAGTTGTTTTGTAAATTTTTTAAATACATTTTTTTGGAAGTTATTTATTTTTTTGGTAAGCAGTGTTTTGGTTTTTACAACTGCCTCTAGTTCCTAAAGTTGAAGGGCCAAGTTTTTTGTCCTTTCTGAGCCTAAACTACTGCTTAGAGATGAACATTGTGTACCAGGATTTCTCTTAAGATTTAATAGTTTTCAACTGAATTATTTTTGTGTAAATCCATAAGAAATCCACACTGCAGCTGGGTAAATAGTTTAGGCAATAGCCTCCCATGTCATCCTGTGACCTGATACACCGCCACAAAGATATTCATTGATCTGAAGTCATATGAAGGTTGTCTCTGTATACAGCTTTTTCTTAACATAATTTTAACTTCATTTTTAGCCAGCAATTTGTGAGGGTGTAGGCAGACGCATTAAAATACAAACATCACAGCAATTGTAACTGTACTGTTGATTGTCAGGTCGCCAACAACAAAGTATGTTCCTACATGGTACACTTTAGTGTGACTAAAAAGTGCCTCTTCTCCGTACTTTTCAAGTATTAATAAAGGCATCTTGTACACCTAATGTTGTATGTTATTTCCAAAATTACCTTCCACCCAATACATAACATGTATGTAGTTTTTAATGTGATGATGATTTTAACTGATAACAAAATCAAAATAATGTTAATAAAAATCTGAAAGAGAAATCTCTATATCTATAACCACATACAAACATGGGGAATTTTATTTTAAGATTCATACTTCTTGAAGACTAAAGGTCTTTTCAATCAACTGAGACTACACAAACCTAAAGGCTATAAGTGAGAAAATTCATAAAAGAAAAAATATATTTTATAAATAATATTCAAAGAAATAACAAATAATGCCATACATGATAATCAAGTATATGTATATAATAAAACCATGTATTCTATAACAACAGAAAAAGTTATGAAATTACCATTTTAACAATAAGTAGTGACTAAAATATAAAAACATGAGACAAAAAAATATATATATAAATATTCATTATAATAAAGCGACAAATAATCACATTCCCTAGTGGTCAATATCATCAAAGGGGAAACAAATGTTACCAGTGTGCTATTTGGTAAGAACACTCTTAGAGACAAAGAGAAATGTAGACTACATGAAGAGAAGAAATGAGAAGGTATGAAGTAGAGGAATGAGAAATAAGCTAAATGGACCATAATATGGGACACTGGCTTAAAAGAAGTTAAACTATGTTGTATTGTTAAATGCAGAAAATTATATTGCATCTTTAGGGTAAATCATCAATCCCACTTCTCAAAAGTAATGAGATCCCCCCCCCCCCTCCCTCAATACAATATAGCAGTGGTGCAACTAAGAACATATGTAAGTTATATATGGTTAATAGATACTAGACATATATCCATTTAAACTTCATCCCTTCTTTATATTATGTTCTGACAACACTTTTATATATAATGCATGCAACAGTCATATTCCAACACTACCCTATTTGCAAATTTTAGAAATTATCTTTTAATTATCAAAATTAAATGTATTCGTGCAAGACGACGTCCCAAGACGCCATAGCTGCTTGTTTAGATGTACAAAACAAGTACCGGTGTTCCATTGTGTTGTATACACGTATTTATTGTGTAC